TTCCCCCCCCCCCCCCCCCCCCCCCAAGCTAGGGAGCCTTTTTAATTTTTTTAATTTTTTTTTGTGGGTGGTAAGTTGGACACATCTCAAAACACACAATTGGCTTGGGGCTGTCCAACCTACATATTGATTAATGTAGTAACATCATTTTTTGACTAGGTTAATGACGACTGAGACATGAAGATCAGAAGATAACTATTTTTTCACTCTTATTTGGTTGTATAATTGGTGCTCCCTTCCCAGTAACAGCATTTTGACCAGTAGAAAGCTTCAGACTCGGTATACTAAATCAGGCTTCAGCATCAAGTTAAAAAACCCCCCAAACCCAAACCTAGTCAAATTCATCTTTTATCTTGCCCTGTCAAAGGAGGAAACAAATGACTCTTTTGCAACTTCCTTGTCCCTAACGCATGGATTTGTGGTTGAAGAGTAGCTTTTGTCCTATGTAGTCTCCTGTGCCGTTCACTGGTGCTCCTTGTTCATATGGGTTTTTCAGGCTTTGCTGTCACATGGGGAATGGGCAACTTGTTGCTGGGTTAGATTTCTTGGAAGCCCTCAAGGATTCTTTCCTGCCATGTCTTGCTAGAATAAACTCGTTTAATTGGGAGGGAGATGGTACGTCCTGCCTTTACTGGCACCCTCCTTCAATCTTCCTGTTCATCTTACTGTTTTGGGGCTCTGCCTCCCCTACATCCTGCCTAACGCCAACCAAGGATGCTATTTCCCAATTTTCTAGGGCTGGTCATGGTATAGATTTTTATCTTGATCTTTTGAGTTAGAAAAAGTCTCGTTTGGATGTTGTCTCGTCTGCATTTTTAGACCGTATTGGAACTGACCTAGAATCATTCCCGACCCTAGGTTACCTTGTTTCCCTGGTGTATTTTTCCTTCTCTCTGGTTTGTATTTACCGCAGTCCAAGCATCCGTCCGTTCTTCTCTCCTCAGGTTCCTGGTTGGTCCGCTCCTGTCTGGAGACATCTGAAATGCACAGCACCATCTCAGGTAAATGGTTTAGCTCTCCCGGGCTTATCTATTTTCAGAGCCCCCTTCCTGGAGCTGCCACCACTTTCCCTCAGTGGGCTCCGCTCTGGGCCACTCTGGGCCCACCGGAGAACCCACATCGATTCTCCCTGCTTCTGATCTGTCGGGGGGGTTTTATTCCCTTTTCAAGGGGCTGGATGGTGAATTGGTGCCAGCACGCCACCATAAAGTGCGTGCATGTTGGTGCTGGAGCCAGTCACAGCTCCTCTCAGACCCACTGTTCCTCCTCTCTCTCCCCCCCGCCCCAATCGGCATAGCATTTTTTCCCTGCTGTGGCTCCGTTCTCACCGTGCTTTCAGCTCGGTGCAGCGTCCCACCGGCTCCGCTCGCTTCCCTCTTCAGGTAAGTTTTCCTCTGTGGCATCATCCCTGCCACATCCTATTAGTCAAGGACTGCTAAAAAGCTATTTAAAAGTTTAGTCCTATATTTAAATATACTCTTACTAAGACACAGATAGCAAAATATGCAACACCTTGGGACAGAATCATCCTTGGTATAACTTCATTGGCTTTGAAGTAGTAAAGAAACCAAACTTGTCCCTGATTAATTTAGGCAGGAGACCTTTAGGCATTCTGACACACATTCAGAGGTTTTATTAAACAAAAAAAATCAAAATGTATGGTCCTCCCATTTCTCCTGCTGCAAAAAAACAGATCTAACAGCAGTATGAGTTAGTACTTACCCAATTCTGCCAGTGATCTGTACCAAGTTGGCTTGTTTTACGTTGGCTTGTGTGTGTGTGTGTGTGTGTATATATATATATAGTGTTGTCTAGCTGCTACTTCTAGGTGTTCTAGCTCCTCTGTAGTAGAGACCAGGAAAATAGGAAGAGGAGCATCTTACCTGTCTATTAATGGCTGCTGCTCCATGAGGAGAAAAGCAGACAAGAATTGCCAGCATGTAAGAAATGTGCAGGGAAGTAGAAAAGGGTGTTGCTCATTGGTATCAGGACTTATGTAAGTGTACAGGCAGCTGCCTAGGGCTGCAATTTGTAGGAGGTGGCAAACCAAGTGCTGTGGGCAGCCAGGAAGTCCACTGGTACTCTGTGCAGTCTGACAGCATGTGTACTTAGCCATGTTTGTGCTAGGCCTGATGTTGCTGCAGCAGTAGAGTAAACTGTAGCACAGGTAGGTGCCAGACAGGTACAGCATGAAGAGGGACAGAACCTCCGTGTCCACCTGGGTGATGTTGCTGTGGCTTAGCTGCTCAGCATCCTCTAGGACATGACTTTGTAGGGTCAGGGCAAAGGGCATGGTGCCGTGCTGCCACCAGCACATGGGGGGGATTCCAGGCAGGCTTCTGGGGGTGCCACTGGAGCATGGCAGTGTGAGGGTTGTGTCTGGCTTCCTGAAGTTCCAGAGAATGGTAGCTATGCCCACATATTACACTTCTAGGTAGGGTTGCCAACCCTGAATCTATTCTGGGAGCTTTCATCACATGACGTAATGACATTGATGATTGATCTCCTGTACTCTAAAACGCATTCACTATGGAGCCATTATTTTACCTTCATTGGAAATAAGGAGCATCATATGAATCATAATGTAATATTTTAAGCATATTGCATAAGTAAACAATTCTACAAAATCTCAAGTTGTAATGTAAATCTTATTTTCAAAAAGCATGATCCGGTTAGAGATACTTTGCCTAACATGGATGATACCGACGTACCCATGACACACACGCCTGCGTGCTTCTATGTATCAGTTACGGATTATGGTGCATAGATTTTGTCAGGAAGGCAAATGTATATTATTATTACATTTTAAAAACCCATTGGACTACTGTATAAATTGAATTCAACATTTAATATTTATTTTAAGGAATGCCTTATCATTTATCTATTGGGTGACTCTCAATAGTCTCCTGGAGATTTGTATCTAATATCTGTAGACCCTAAGGCAATCCTGGACAGTTGGCAACCCTGCTTCTAGGTGCTGGGGCAGATCGGGGGCTCTGGGGCTGCCATCTCTAGCACCCACCCTGCAATAATCATCAGGTGGCCATAAGTGCAGGGTTTTCAGTCAGTCAGCTTCAGGCTCCAGCAACCTCCTTCCCAGGGAAATGCTGGGGAGGAGCTGGCTGCAGTTGCTATGTAAGGGGCTTCCTAATGTCAGCTTATCCAAGAATGAAAAGGGAGGGTGGCAACATTTCATTTGTTTAAGGCGGCAAAAATCCTTGTACTGGCTCTGATTGGTGTATTAAAGGAGCTGTAAAGGAAGGGTAAGGTTTGGTGGCAGAGCAATGCATCTAGGGCAGAAGGAACTAGGGCTAAGTACAGGCAGTCAAAAAGTCCAAGGCTGAATTGATTCAGTCTTTGCGGGTTAGTTTAATCTGCAAAGATTGAACCAATAAGCAAATGAACAGACATTCACTTTTGATTCAGGAAATGCAGACACATTTTCAAACAGGTTTATGTGCACTGAACTTATGTTTAGGTTTAAACCAGTTTCTGATCACTTAAACCAGTTTATGTGTAACTTCTGTCCCTTGCCTAAGTGTTTGTGAAGCATGTGCATGGAAAATAAGCAATATAAAATATATAAATATGAGGTGATGAGCAAAAGGGGATACTGTGGCTCCTCTTTTGAGGAAACCAAGTAGGTATATTATATACTGTCAAATACTTGACTAATATTGCTTTTTCAGATATGCAATTGCTACAGATAGGAAACGAGTTGGTCCATGACCTAATTTTTAGGACTGTGTGAAGCTTTGGTCCCTGATTTGATTTGGCCTAATTCAGTGGCCAAATCTCTGAATCCAAACCAAATCAGGAGACCCTTTAATCTCTCTGGATCAAATCGGAACCCTCTGAATCGATTCAGAAAGATTCGGTGATTCGGACTTATACACAGCTTTAAATGTTTTTTTTTCTACATACGTCAAGGTATCAGGTGGCCCGTGAACACTGAAATGGTGGGGCGCATGGAGCATCTCATATGAGTGTGGGGGGGCTCCCCAGCACACTCGACAGCAGACCCGGATGTGGACCTGAAACACTTCCTGTCCACTAATAGGTCCTCCAGGGAGTGTGTGGGGGGGGCTCCCCCCTCATCTCCCTGGCTTGGCAACTGGTGCCTCCTGAGTCTGGGGGGGACACTGGGTCCCCCCCCCCCCACAGCTGATCGCCGAACTGGGGAGGGGAGCGGGGGGGCCCCCCTGTGCACTCCCTGGCAGACTCAGAAGTGGACCGGAAATACTTATGGTCCACTTCCGAGTTTGCCGCCAAGCACGTAGGCCCCCCCTCCCCACCCCGCACTCCTGTGGGATGCTCCATCCACCCCAGCATTGCAGCATTTACAAGCCGCGCTTGGCACCTTGAGGTACATAGAAAAAACATCTAAAGCTGTGTCTGTAGCCAAATCACTGATTTCTCTGAATCGGCATTGAATCTTCAGATTCGGATTTGGCCCAATCGAATTGGGGAAAGTGATCCGAATCAACGAATTGAATCATTGTCCCTGATTCTGGCCAAATCTGAATCCGAATCGAATACAGCTCATTTTGCATACCCCTACTAATTTTTATATTAAATATGGCATACATCATAAAACAATGGGAGATTCCTCACTGTAGTACATTACTTTGTGAGATGTTTACTTTATACCTTTCCATTAACAAAAGCATAATATTTTCATACATAACTATGTACGTGTTCTGCTGTGTTGCAATTTGGTGGAATTTATTATTATAGGCTATATTTGTGTGCATCTAGGGAGAAAGTGTCTCATTAGTCACAGAACACAGATGAATCTGTAACTTGTTTTCTAAAATTCTTTTGACTCCCAAGACCTTTTTTTAGCACAAATTATGTCCTTAAAATGGCAAACCATGCGGACCTTGTTCACTTGGATTTCTGCCTGCTTTAAGCAGTGCTGTTGCTTGTCTATATTGGGTGCTTAGAGGCTGGGCCAGGTGTGCTGGCCTTCCAAATATTCTTCCTGTTACACTGGAATTAAGTGAATCTTTTATCATGGTTTTGTTTTTATCTTAAGTTGAGAGAGAATGATTTATAGTCATCTCAATATGGCTGTCTCCTTAACATAGTAACTATTCATCCTATCACAACTCACCTTGGGGTATTTAAACTTAGATTATCAGAACATCTAGGTGAAAACACTGTCAAATTAAGATCATCACCGTTGATGGCAATTGTAGTTCAAAAATAGGCCATCTATAACCAGTGGAGACTAGATTTGCTATTTGCACAATAAGGTTCTTGAAGACCCCTTAGACTGACTTTTGAATGAGAAACAGTCTGTAAGAGGCAAGGATTGTTAGGGTAATATCTTTTGTTGGAACAACTGCATGGTTGGAATAAACATTCTGTAAAGCATTCCCTTGTTCCCTTGGTGGATTGTAACACCAAGAGATAAATTTAATCACAAAAGGAACTAAGGTGATGGAGCTAATGAAGCACACATTCCATAAAGTGGGCAATTAGACAAAGATGCATATTTTAAATGAAGGTATGCCATGCCTTTTTAAGTAGTTAGGAAGCACAAGAGCAAGTCTGCATATGTCACTTCTGCTTGAGACTCATTCCATGCTGTGTAGGGAGTAAGTGGAAACAAGAGTTGAGAAGATATATTTCACCGCAGGTAGTCTTCAAGTCCATGGTAAAACTTTCTTTAACTTTTAATACTGTAGGTTTTCACCTCAGGCTCTGTTCATAATTACGTTCTAGAGAAAGCAGATGT